GAGCCGGGGCGGCCTGGCACAGTGGTTGAGTGTCGACCTATGAACCAGGAGGTCATGGGTCGATTCCTGGTCAGGGCCCAGGCCCAGGTTGCTGGCTCGATCCCCATTGTGGGGAGTGCAGAAGGCTGCCAATTAATGATTCTATCTCATCATTGATGTTTCCTCTCTCCCTCTCCCTGCCTCTCTAAAATCAATAAAAATATATTAAAAAATAAAAGTCAACCTTTACCTTAAAAAAAAAGAGCTAATAAGAGTTCACAGTGGAAAAGGCAGACAATACACTGGCCTTTCTTCTTTCAATATACGAATTAGAAAGCAGGAAATCTATTAGGCAGAGAAAAAAACATATGCTTGGAGAAACAGCAGGGATGTCTGTATTCTCTTGGCTGCCCCACAAGTTACGGAATCGGATACATTTATGACCATGCTGGCTCCAAAACAGGATTCATGCTCTGTAATCCAAGTAAATGCTCCAAGGGTGCACCAGGATTTAGTGGGCGTGAAGAGCAAAGGTTGTCAGACAAGCAGTCTTCGGCTCTAGCCACAAACCTTCAGGTGAGCAAATGGCAGTGATTCATGTTTTACTTCTGAGTTCAGATCTAGATTAGAAGGAATACTAATGGCTTCAGAATAAAAGAACCCAGGCTTAAGCACTCAAAAGAGAACTTCTTAAAATGAAGTCCTATTGCTAACCAGTTGCACTGAAAACCTACAGGGAAACATCCCAAGCGAGAAGTATACCAACACTGGTACGAATGTCTCTGGGACATGGACAAACATGAGGAAGTCAATCCTAGTTATTTGCTTTTCTTTCAGTGCATGGCACGAGGGGGTGAGATGAGGAGAGGGATCAACTAATATAGTACAGGAAGATAAAAATGTCAGTTTTGTGGGATTTTATTTGTGTTTCCATTTAGGGACACATTTCCTGTTGTTTAAATGCCACCATAATTCATCACATGAAACTCATCTCCCAAAAAAGGATCCGCATGGTTTCATTTTCCAACTGACACAAGTCTGTGCAGCCCACAGAAGCCACTACAGGTTACACTTATTTTTGCCCCCTCTCCTGTTCTATATATGGTCCAGTTCCTGAGAAGCAATGCGATTTATCCCACATTCTAGGGGCAAGTGTCCCATCTGACAAATCTCCCTCTGCCCCCCACTCCACTGCCTCGGGATGGACATGGGGAGCCGTGGTTAGTGACTACTCTCAGGTCCTTCCTGTTCCACCTCTCCAGGTTCAGGCTAAATCTTAAATCTATAATCCACTGCAATAAACCAGTCCTGCCTAATCCGCTGACACAAGGAGAGCACATTTTCTCCTTCCCTGCAACCATGTGAAATGGAAGCATTCTTTGCAATTAGAAGCAGCAGGAAGAGGGAGTTTAGCATACAAAAGACAGGAATTAACAGAAGAATGTTTGAGAGGTATAACCAGAATGGCTAACTGCTATGACTAAACCCCCAGAAGCTTAAACCCTGGAGACAATATTAATGCAGGAAGCCAGGAGTTAAGGCTTAGACAGAAGTTACCTCCTAGTATGGCTCAAAAGTTCAGGGGATAGGACCCAGTGGAAGGGACCAAAGCCATACAAGTAAATTCCGCTGGTCCAGAGGCCTAGCCCCTCTCACCCTCAGCTGGAAACCAAGACAGGTCATTCCAAGCATGCTGACAGCAGGCCTGTTTGCAAGTTTGAGGACTCAGTTTTAAAATAAGCTAAAATAGGACTAGAATGCAGCACTGCAAAGTGTTTTCACAAGTATAATCATGAGAAAGGTTAGAATATTGCATAGAAAAGTGTTCTGTAATATCCTTTGTAAACCTAGGTCTTAGTAATTAAAACAATTAAACAAACCAAACCTCCCTTCATAGTCTAGAAGTTCACGATTATGAACTGAGGAAAATGATCAAGTTTGCAGTTTTGCAGCAAAACCTCAGAAGATCCTGAAGTTCTTCATGTTTAGAATTGTGATTAAATTTACCACTTGGAGCCCAGCCAGGGTGGTTCAATGGTTGAGCATCGACCCATGAACCAAGAGGTCCTGGTCAGGACACATGCCTGGGTTGCAGGCTTGGGGTGTGCTGGAGGCAGCCAATTGATGTTTCTTTCTCATTTGATGTTTCTATCTTTCTCCCTTTCCCTCTCTCTAAAATAAATAAACATATTTTAAAAAATATTTACCATTTGGAGGGTCAAGCTGACACAGTTTAACAAGTTTCTTTATAAAAGGACCTGGGCTACATGAGCCCAAGCAAATTTATGTCTCTATGCTCTGCCTCTTTGCTTAGAAGAGGTGACCAAAACACCCAGGGGCATGAAATCACCGCTATTGTTTTTAAACTTGGGCTGCTTGTTTTCTTTTCTTTTCACATTAGTCTATTATTAAGCAAGCTACACCTGACTACCTTTTTAACAGGTTTGAATGGCCAGTTTAAGAATAAGTGAAAATATCTTAGGACATTTAAATGAACCTTGGCAATAGGATGAGAAATTCTTAACCTCTCTTATCATATGCATCAATTGAGTCTGAGTTAAAATACACCACAGTGACAGTGATATCATCCCTGTACATTCTCGCCAAGTCCTCTGGCAATGTCAGCATTGCGGTCAGCCGTTCTGGATCCATCTCCCCATACTCATTGCTCCCTATGGCATGTCTGATCAGACGGGTGGCTGCATTTTGGTCGGCAACATGAAGCCCCTGGGCTTTCCTCTGCAGCAGCAGGCTTTGCATGAGTCCCAGGTTGGCTGGTCTCTGGGCCAGGTCTGGCTTGTGCCGACCTGCTTCACTTAGGTGCTCCACCACCAGCCTCACCACATCCTCATTGTCCAGTACGTCCCATAGGCCGTCTGACGCCAGCACAAGGAACTTATCCTGGGGCCTCAGCCTGTGGTATGTGATCTCAGGCTCAGCAGTCAGGTAGGGTGGAGTGTAGTAGTGTTGGGGGGTGAACTGGTAAATGTTGAGAGCCTCGGTGTCAAAGCCTCTCTCCAGGACACTGCGCTGCAGCTCTTTACTCCACTTCAGCTGGACATCTCCGAATGCCCTGCAGGGCATGAGGATGCCCAGCAGCCTGTCGTCCATGATGATTGTCCTGTCTTCTGACTCAGGATGCTCCCTCTTCAGCCGTGACAGCTCAGCCTGGTTCCAGGCATTGTGGTCACAGGTAAGGGGCAGACAAGACCACATGCCATTGTCCTCCTGGACACCAAGGATGGCCCGGCAGTCACCAGCATTTGCCACATGCAAGTGAACCCCATCAACATGGGCCATGCAAGCTGTTGCCCCAGAGAAAGCAACCTGGAGGGAAAGGTTCCTTGTCATCTCGTCTTCCAAAGGGGCCTGGATTTCCAGCGAGATGTCAGAATCGAGTCTCTGGAAGGAGTACATTAATGCTTCCTTAATGTTCAGTCCCATTTCCATGTGCAGGTCAAGCAGCTCCTGCCAGTAGACCCGGAGGTGATCAAGGTGCACTGATGTGACGTCCTTGTAGATACTGTCCCCTGGGTGCTTGAGCCACTGCAGGATGGGCAGCATGGGCTTCATGCTTTCCATCGCTTCCTCCATCTGCTCCAAGGTCTGCTGAGACATCAGTGACACTGCCACGTAGTAGAAGAGCCTCTCACTTACTGCTTGAGCACATGCATGGCCACCATGTCCGTCAAAGACACCGAACATCAGCCCATTGGTCTGCAGGCAGGAGGCCACGCCTCGCCGGTCCTCCACGGGGGAATTGGCAGCCAGCTGGTTGCTCTCAAACCGCAACACTGAACTTGGGGCTCCACTGACCGGGTCAAGAATCTTGTGGGCCGACTCACCAGCTCGCAACACTTCGTTTACTTGCTCAGGGCTGAGCTGCAGGTGGAGATCGTCCTCCTCTGTCCACGTGTGTCTGTAGGCTTTCGGCAGAGCAAAGTCGCCGCACGGGGCATTGTTCCTTAGGGTGTTTGATGCCCAGGAAAAGAGCGTCCTTTTTGATTTATTCCTACTTGAGACACACCTTGAATATAAACGCCTGCCCCCTTGTAATGTGGCAATGCTGTTCCTTGCAGAATTTAAGATCCAGTAGGACACAGGACTTGACATTCTGAAACTATACCAGCAAATGTGTTCCTTCAGCAAAAGGTTGTATTTTTTTAAACCTGAAAATTAAAGAGTTTTAAAGTTTCAAATTTAATTTTTCAATAATGAATTCTGAAAACACTTAATGTGCTACTATCCTGAGCAAAAGTGATTTAAGATAAACTATTTAAAAGAGTTCACTAAACTCAAAATACCTAAGCAGGTCTCTCTACCTCCCATTATAACACATAAACACATCCCAGAAAAATGTGAAAAACAGGGTTTGTATACACTCTCCACTCCTACAGAGCCACCGTGGGCTTCCCCACAGAGCTCACTCATTCCTCACAGCTGACCCAGGGATCCCCATTTCCTCTCCTTCCCAAATCCTTCCCCTTGCTAGAGCCCAGTGCCTAGCTCCCATGTTCACTCTTCCCAGCAGACTACACATTTATTTAAATATCTGCTTTCTCACTAGTCTGTAAGCTCCATGAATTCAGGAACTATGGCTGCCTTACCAGTGGCTCTCTAGGGCCCAGCCCTGTACCTGGCAATACAACAAGCCTTTAAATATTGGCTAAATGTGGATTTTTGGGAGGGTTAATCCTCACCCAAGGATATTTTTCCATTGATTTTTTTAAAATATATATTTTTATTGATTTCAGAGAGGAAGGGAGAGGAAGAGATAGAAACATCATTGATGAGAGAGAATCATTGATCAGCTGCCTCCTGCACGCCCCCTACTGGGGATCGAGTCCACAACCCAGGCATGTGCCCTTGACTGGAATTGAACCATGGATCCTTCAGTCCACAGGTCAACGCTCCACCCACTGAGCCAAATCAGCTAGGGGAGTGGTCGGCAAACTGTGGCTTGCGAGTCACCTGCGGCTCTTTGGCCCCTTGAGTGTGGCTCTTCCACACAATCCCGACTTCTGTGCATGGGCCACGAAATTTCAATCGCGCTGTACTTGCGTGCCCGCACGTGGTATTTTGTGAAAGAGCCACACTCAAGGGGCCAAAGAGCCGCATGTGGCTCGCAAGCTGTAGTTTGCCGACCACTGGGCTAGGGCTCCATTGATTTTTAGAGACAGTGGAAGGGAGGGAAAAGGGGCAGAGAAAAAGAGAGAAACATCGATGTGAGAGAGACACATTGATTGGTTGCCTCCCCCACGTGCGCTGACTGGGGCTGTGGAACCTGCAACCGAGGCACATGCCCCTGACCGGAATCAAACTCGGGACCCTTCAGTCCACAGGCCTACGTTCTATCCACTGAGCCAAACCGGCTGTGGTTACATGCGGATTTTTAAAAGGTCCCATTGCACTCTAGGCATCACACTAGCTGTCTAGCATCAGACACACTGCCTGAGCTCCGGTGGCTCATTGGTGGGATGGGAATACTCATCTCTGAAGGTTTTGTGAGGACATATGAAATATGACCCTCCTGCTCCAAAAAAAGGAGTTATTACTTTTATCATTAGGTGTATTATTCTCCAGTCATTCTGCACACATTTTTATACAGTTGCAACCACAAGTTTCAATCCCAGTTTTCCCGTGAAGAACATTTTGTCCATATTACGTTTCATGGATGCCTAATATTACTTTTTTGCCATAAGCAATCACAATTTACTTAACTATTGCCTATTGTTGGAGATACGAAGGTCATTTCCACTGCTAGTTATAAAACACCACACTGTCCTGCCCTATGCATCAACCCACTTAGGTTTCATCCTACTTACTTCTCAGGCGAGGAGGAATTAGTAGGTCAAAGGCTGCGGATGCATATTGCCCAACTAATTCCCAAAAGGTTCGCATCCGCCTCTGCAAAGGCACGAAGGAAAACAGTTTCCTAGCACCTTCAACAGCCTTTGGTGGTATTTTTCTCTTGGGCAGCAACAACAAAAGCTGCTCTATTTTCTCTTTCCTCGGGTGACCCAGGAGAAAGCGCGTTTCCCACGTGTTTTCGGGTTCCGCTTATGAATCCTGCCCCCGCCCCCCCCGCCCCTCCCCACGTTCCTCTGGATTGGGGGAAAAGCCAACAGAAAGTGCTCCTTCAGCACACAGTTTGAGTGACCTCGGGGCAGGAGCAGAGGGTCCGGGGGAACAGAGGGCGCCTGCCCCGTCCCCCTCCCGGAGAAACCAGGCAGCGAGGCCCCACGCTAGGCTGTCTGCCGCAGCCCCGATCCCTCAAAGAAGCCAACGGGTCCCAAGTTCAAGTCTCTGACCCACGGTTTCATAGACAAGAGCGCAGCCTCCTGCCCCAGCCCAGATCTCCCTCAAAACCGGGCGCGGCCCCATCGCCGAGCCCCTGCTTCCCAGGTAAAATAAGATTGAGTCCAGACGCCCAGCTCTGGGGTTAAAAA